ACTGAAGTAGAGTGAAACTGCGCAGTTGCAGATATGGTCATATAATGAAAATGCTTGATAAAATATGGCCCGACAAAGTGCTTGCTATTCTGGAAGGAGGCTACTACTCGGGAAGCTATACCGAATGTGCTGCGATGGCTGTTCGAGGCTTACGTGTATGACCATTACCATTCTGAATTGTTCTTTTTTCTTCAAATCCATTTTTCGGATAATCACAGTGAACAAATAAGAAATTAAGATCCGATGGACGGGGCGGTTCCTCAAAAGCCTTCACATCACTGAGCGGTACCTACGAAAAAGGAAACGACCATTAGGACAGCCCGAGGAGATGATGCACCTACATAGGCCCGGGTGTCGCCAACTACAGGCATATTGCCAGGACTGAAGAACTTGGCATAGCAGCTTGAGACGTATGGGAGAGCTTCCAAAAAATATCAAACATGAGATACTAATACTGTTGGCCCGAGGATTCTCGATATTTTTGAAATTTCAGAGAAAAAACATTTCGTTCTTAGATAGAAGGAAAAAAGAAACAACACAATTAATTAGGAAATGCAGCATTTTTAACACAGCTATATTTCCACTTATTTATTGTTAGTCAGATTTATGGACGCCAAAGAAAAAGAAACTGAAAAAAATTTGCAGCGAATGCCATTACCGAAACTGCAACATCCGAAACAAATAAATCCATGCATGGCAGAAACCCTATGGAACGCGCTGTGTCATCATGCACATCGATGGAGCTGCGTTGCTGAACATCTGGAGAAGCTTCAGTGCATGCAGGTTTAACTTTATACCCCAGATCAGAAATAGTTAGCCATCTCATGCTGCCCGGATATACATTAGAAAAGCGTCAAAATAACTTAGTAGTGTGAAACTTTAGGAAAGTAAACATCTGAATTAAAAAAAAAGCATGCGATAATATACAAAAAAAAAGAAAAACTCTTACCGCAATCAAATTTATAACTGAAAAATTTCGGCTCAGCTCATTCAGTTTATTTTTCTAAAAATTCGTATTTTCTTAGATTAGACATGGACTGCCACGATATGTGCCGCCAACGGTGAAACTCTTTGCCGGTACTGGTTTCCGAAAGCTCTGGAATGCGGTGCAGGAACTGAAGGTAGCACGCACACGTGACTGGATCCCGGGAATGTCTGACGACGATGTCAAAATTGCACGCGCTAAAGTTAATGAATACATTCAGGTTGTTTCTAGGCATTTTGTGGTACCATTGTTACTTTGTAGCTATTCCAGGAATTTTCTTGCTTCGGTTATTTTAACAGTTTCTGCGATCTCTAGTCGTAGCAACGCACAACCTCATTTCTTAGCTGGCTCTGTGAAAAAAGTGTTGCTTTTCGAAGTGATTACAGTACCTCCTATTCGTTCAAATAGAGCCACAAACAAAGCGAGTTCTTCTACGATATCGGCTTTATTTTTACGAGTTGTTCACTTTTTCTTCGATTTATTTTGATGATTTTAAGCAATATGAGTATGATGCGCCAGCAGACGAATTATCCGAAGACGAACTACTGGAGCAGTTGCTGTGGCACCCAGAAAGGCGTGGAGAAGCATTTCTGAAGTCAATACCAACAACGCTGTTTTTTTATAATGCGATGCGCGAATGCATGGATAGCAGGGATGGAAAATATCTGATAATTGATATGTACGCTTATCGGCAAGCCGCACATATGTATCGCGCACAGCAAAAAAATTCCGGGTCAAAATAATCTCAAATTCGCAGGCATAGTTGCATGAAATATTGGGATAGAAGGATAGGAATTGCGAGCCATACATTTTGATGGGAGCGTTCTGTCTCACATCCTTTAGTTGTGAAAGCTACAAGAATATAACAAAAAATTTTTTCGCAAAAGGATTAAAGTAATCTGATAGCAAACAGGCAGATCTTGTAACGCCACTATATTCATTTTATGTGAGAAGCGGGAACATTCGAAAATAGCGGGATTGATGGCATTTCACTGTTTGGAAATTTTGAATTAAAAAAAATGTGAAGCCCTCAGTCCAAAGTTGGAGACCCAGAAAAAATAGGGTTTAATCCTCATTTCTATGACTTTGTGTTGCACTTCTCAAATAGAAGTTTTAAGCTTTCAGTGAGTGCTCTGACTGCGCTCCATTTGCTACGTTTTGGTTCTGCTTTCAAAGAGTTTAAGGCAAGGGTAAAGCTGGAAAGCTAATATTTCGTTTCTATCAAAAAATTTGCCTATACATGTCTGTTAACCATTCATTTGCATTTTCCCAAACTTAATTTTGCGACAGTTTTTTCGGTAAACCCGATTGGACGTGTTTTGAGATGAATGTTATTTCGAAAATTTTTTGCACTGCCCGAGCAAAAATTCATGTTTGCTGACTAGCAT